AATAAAGTATGTATGTATGTATGTATGTACAGTATCTTGTGTAAAACTTCCTACAACTAGGCAACAACATTTCAACATCTGCTGACTCAACACTAACTACAATGTTGAGATATGGGTGAGGGTTTGTTTATTTTGAACGACCGCTTTACAACGAAACCCATAATAAACCGCAATAATATCTAAATCTCTTATAAAGATCGAGTTAAGTTGAACTGTCAGGTATGACATCGTCAAACATAGTCACTGAAGGCTATCATTCAAGCGCTTCATCTCACTACTCAAAACCTCTAGTTCTTTACTCTTCAACTTTCTCGCTTCTTCTTGAAAAGCTTACAACTCTTGTAATGTTTGCAATTGATTCTCTTCGCGGAGAAAACACTTCGTCTGGCAGGTCAATATATAATTGACGTGGGGCGTAGCTCGGTTTCCAGCCGTGGAGTGTGCGGTCGATGAGCCGTGTCCGCGGCGTCACCTAAAGCGGCGCGGATGCGCGCGCCGTGAGACAACTTTTTCGCGCGCTTTTTGCGTACAAAGGAACCCCGAGCGCTAAATCAAAAACACTCACGACAGTGTTCAATTCCTCGCGTATTTATAAAAAAAGTTTTCAATTTCATTTTTTCCCCCGGTAGGTTATCAATAAATACGATAARATGAATAGGCAGATATAATATATAATTATAATTTCAGAAAATTGAGACGAAATTAATAACTCTTCCATAGCCTATTTGAAAATGTCCTTTTTTTCAAAACTTTCCAGGTCCTGGAAAATGGCATTATCAATTTGCAAAACTTTCCAAAACTTTCCAAAACCTCTACGGACACTGTTAAAAAAGCACGAGTGTTCAGATTCTCGCGCAGAGGCATTTCCTTTGCGTTACGTTAATCGGAGTGGCGTTATAAGATGTTAGGCCCTGTCCACACTATGCCACACTATTACCTTAAACGTCTTCAAGCTTCTATCTTTTTCTGTTTTTTACTTCTTTATTTTATTTTTGGATACCAAATAAGGTATTGTCAACATTGTCTGATCAGCCTTCAACAAAATAAGGTTTTTACCTTCTGGTTACCCCCCAAAGACGCAAAGTATTATAGGGATGTGAAAGTAGAATTCGGTTAGGCCTACCGTCCACACTAGTCCGGGTGAATCCGGAACAATTCTTCACCGAAAACGATTTTTTTCGAACACGGTCTCCAGGGTGGAACGATTTGGAAACGCTTACTAGCCGTATTAGTGTGGACGGAGAACATTTCGTACCCGAAATTTTTCGAATACGATGACGTCATGATTGTCATGGGAACATGAAGGGAAGACTAAAAATTCACCGCGGGCTCAATTTCAGCTTCGATGCACATGCTCAGATGTGCAATGAAGTGTTTTTGCCGCCTCTGATCGGACTAGTGTAGACGCGAAACATCTTATCCGTTTTCATGTGTGGACGGAAAACTTTTTTTTCGGTTTCGGTGTGAAAGCTGCGGATTCAAATTTATCCGGCATAGCGTGGACGGGGCCTTAGAATGTTTGCAAAAGAAAGGAAATTTCAAATCGTTTTAACCTTTTGCTTTTTTTTAATTGGGGG